ATTTGTATCAAATTAGCAGATTGATTATGGCCACGTAGACATTAATAAAAGCTTAATAAATTTTACAATGGCGCAAATATATCCTGCGATTACTATTTTTTGTGGTAAATTTTACTGCAACTATATATAGCACACTTGATTATAGTATTCCTCTCGTGTATACCTGCTTCTAAGCTCTCTTTTACTGTTATTTTATTTCTCCTTCTAATTTTGATTCCTTTGCTATTTTTCTCTTTCATCATCTGCCTTCAGGATGTAATTGATTTTTGAAAGACAGTGAAAAAGGTACAATTACACTGCAGCTGCATTCACTGAACTCAAATAATTCAGAGAAGCAAGTAGATTAATGAAATGTGTTTAAGAAAGTTGACTTTATAAAGCAGTACCGTAAGGAAGTTAGTTACTCGAGTGGTACATTGCTAATTCTTCCTCGCCAATTACATCTTTCTATACCCGTGTCTCTACGTTTACACGTGCACGGGGAAAACGATCGTTTGGCCGCGGGACCAAGAGCGTCAAAAAAAAAGAAAAAGAGTCTAACCGTTCGTCGTTCGGTTTGATGTACGATAACATCGTTCTCTCTCTCTCTCTCTCTCTCTCTCTCTCTCTCTCTCTCTCTCTCTCTCACGTTCCCTCCCTTTTGCGAACGAATCGTCTTCGTTGTTTTTCACCGCAGTCGTTCGCAGATTTAACGGACGGCGAAACGTTTTGCGCATCGAAGAGAGGTCGGCAGGATTAGCCGCGACTTTGTGTCATGCGAATCCTCGATGTGTACGTAATGTCCCGAATTTGATATGTTAATTTTTACCGTTACGCGACACGGGCGCCTTTTCGTTGCGTTATGCCTCTCGGATGCGTATATTATAGCGTTGACAATCGGCGCGCTGGCTTTCTCGATGAGAACGCGAGCCTTGGTTCTGGTTTTCGACGCGCGAGCATCGCTCGGACAACGATATTTTACGCGCGTCAGCTGGTCCGCGCCGACGAAACGACGCCGGTGATTCGCAAGATCAATTCGGAATACCATTGCACTCCACCATGCGTGAATTACCAAACGAGCAGACTCGGCAAAGGGCATTTAGCGCGAAAAGCCGTAGGAAAGTGGAAGCGCCGATCGATAGAGAGAGAGAGAGAGAGAGAGAGAGAGAGATTGCTTGTCAAAGTGACGCGCCGCTCGCAAAGAGCCAGCGAAATCCTCGACGGCTTTAGTGCGAGAGTAGGAGAGGCGTTAAGCGCTCAAGCCCATCGCAATTGCCTCGGCGCTGTGCACACGAGCATGTATATAGAATAGCCATAAACGTTTGCGGCTGGCAGTAATGAGTGTCGGGACTACTGCGCCCGCGGAACACAATAAATATATAGACGAGGCCGATACCGCCGAGGGCCTCGGAGGAAAACAGGAAGAGAACGCGAGGGCAGGGAGAAAGTGAAGAGAATGCTGCGCTCGCGGCGATGTCATTTGAATTCTAATGCTGATTGCTATGCTTTTACCGTAAACTAGATCAAATTCGAAGATACAATAGAGTTTTCATGGAAATATTCTTAACGTTCGTTGGCTGACCTTTAGGATATTCAATTAGCGTGTCCTGAAAATCGGTCGTTACAGCTGCATATCTCGAACGACAATTTCGAGCAAACTTTTTTCTTTCCTTTTCTCTTTTTTCCTCTTGGTGCATCTTAGCGCATTGGTCTTGCCGCACCCGAGGGGAACCTTAATATTTCGGGAATTGAAGGCTTGTACGCCGAAAAAGAGGCGCTTTTACAGCCGAAAAAAATATCAGAGACGTCTGGCGGTCCGATATCTGTCGACTCGTAAAAGCACGTCCTGCGACTTCCTTGCGAGGAGATCAAGCGCGTTTCTCTCTCTCTCCTTAGGGGGACCAAAAGGTAATTGCTGCGCGCGAGGCTTCGCTTCAAGTGTCAAAGACTTCTCTTCTTTTTTTATGTCCGTCGAGACGCTAACTCTTTGTCCGCGTGGACCGTTGTTCTCCCCCCACCCCCCGCCATCTTCTTCGTTCTTGCGAGATGTAATCAATCGAAACGACACAATAAGAGAAGGTATGATACACTTTTACTTGTTGATGAAAACGATATTCGATGTGTTCGTTTCGAGTTGTGATGAAAAATTGTGTCGACGATGCTGAATATTGTGAAACATGGTTCGGTTCACCGCTAAGTGTACTAGGTATGGCCAAATGACATTAATTTATTGTGATATTCTGCTAGAAATACACACATTATAATAGCACAGAGTCTTGTTTTAATAAGAATATAAGAATAATTAAGAATTGAATCATTTTGCTACTCAACGTGCAGACGTTTATCTCCATACAATGGGTAATCGCTTTGAGAAAGTTTGCAACTTCTGCTAGATCCATCTATTAGCTTCATTTCGAATGAAACCAATTGCTGACATAATCGGTAAACGAATTACCAGACACGGAATGCGGCAGATAGCGTTATTAAAAACCGATATCTCCAAAGATTTATCGGTCTTGAAAAAGAACTTATCGGATTCAACAGCCACGTTCCAAATTTCTCGATTTCATTAACTCGGCGAATGCCAGTCGTTCCCGCGAGTAGATAAACTTGCACTGGCCGGGCTCGCGGGCAGGTCTGCGTAAGCATGAAATTCAAAGTCTTACAAGCGCACGAGAATAGGAAGTGCATCGGCGCGACGGCGTCCGACCACATTAGTCGCGCCGTTATCTCGGCTCCTCCTCGTCTTCGACTTCTCGCTGGCACACGCGCGTAACGATCTCGCGGGATTTCCGCGCGATGAAAAAGGAGAGGCGTTTCGATTTTACCTGCGTATCGCGCCAGCCGATTAACAAATTAACGCGTGGCTCGCGCCAATTTTACCGGTTTCGCGCTCGCTGGCGCAGATTGCGCTCCTCGCTTTCTTCCCTCTTACCGGTATTCTCGTGCAAAACGACGTCTCTCAATTTTTCTCACTTGTCCATTGCGTTTGCGCGCGCGCGGAACGTAAAACAGCGAACAAAAATTATCGTATTGTCGCCAGTAGAGACTTGGATTATCAAGAGGAACGTCGCTAATAGCCGTGTTAAACGATCGATATCTCAGTTGGCGCATTGTCGTAAACAGTCGTGAAGAAAATTAGAGCGGTTTGGTATTTGTACTGCGAAAAACGAGCGAGTCAAGTTATTATATGGATGAGTGACATACAAACCACACGGCAGTGTTGAAAAACACTTCGCACCGCCTATATGTCAGTGGGCAATCAGCAAACGATTCAACCGATTTCTCAATCTCAATCAAAAGAAACGCCACATTTTCCACGCGATAACGGACAAGTCAAGCAAAAACAAAAGAGTATGCGCGGTATATCCGCGCGACTAACCCACTTGGCAATCAAACGCCAATAATTGGCGCCAATCTCGTCCAGTTTTCTCCATCGCAATGTGTATTCATAAAAAAGAAAGAAGCTAAGCTTCTTATCGCCTCTCACTGTCCGTTTGAGATACCGTTTTTGAAATTGCAAAGTCAATTCAATATTAGAGCAACATAATGGAAACGAAGCTCATTTTGATGCGGTAGACGAAGTCGAGTAGCGATGACCGGTTTTCTCTCTCGTGAGCGCGACTTATCACCTTTGCACTTGCGTTCGCGCCCTGTCCCATCACACACACACGCGCGCGCGCGCGCGCGGGTTCGTACGTAAGTATATATAGTATTATACAGTTCGTTTGCTTGCGAGTAGCATGCACTTTCCATTGTCTCCAAGCGCGCCTCGTAAATCTCCTCCAGAGACTTTTAGTTATTATTCAGAGTCTTGTCTAGTATATAAAAGCTCAAACCAAAGTTACTATACTATAGCTTTATTATCTGTCTTGAGTGTAGAACAATTTCATTGATCTTTTTACTTTTTTGAACTTTAAATTTATAATATTATCAACGTTTACAGTGCTTGAATTGACATTTCACGAACCCCAAAGCTTAAAAGTCAGCATCACGTTAATACGTGTAACTGAATTGATTACGGTCACCTGGCGATGAGCATCGGTATCAAGCGACTTTAATCGCTCATGCTCTCGTTGCAACAAACAAACAATGACGTCTTACTAGCATCCAAGGCGCAAACAACCCAAGTTTTCTCTCAGAGAGGAGTGAAAACAGCACTCATCAAGCACTTGGGAAGTGTGAAGGGTCACATAGAATTACAAGGCGTAACAAAAGGGTTGCAATCGAATATTTATTCGCCGGGGCACGGCGCAAAAATATATCGTGTCATTCTGAAAGATACGGGCATGTCGCTCTCGAGACTAATGCACGCGGCTACTACAGCCCTCTCCCCCGAGTGCCCACATAATGCAACGGCGCGTGACTGCTACTCGAAGCCCGGCAGCGGCAACTGTCGCTTAATCGTGATTCAATTATGAGCGTGCCTCGGAAATGAAGTGCCGAGAGGGCGATTATCGCGTCGTAAATCTTAGACGAGATTGCGCTCGCGGGACAAACACCTAACTCGAGCGCCTCGGCCGTCAAGGCAATGGTGTCCGCAATCGAATGTAAACGTCCGAAGGAGCTGTGGTCCAAGCCCTCGGAATAATTCGAGCGTGAAAACAGCGGCGCGCCCAAATCGTCGTCTCGTTCCGCGCCGCACTGACGGAAAAGGAATCGGCGAAGGGCGTCGAGCCATGCAAAAGCTCACGTACGGCGATCAGTCGCATTATGCGCGGGCGCGTTCGGGGGAGACGGCGCTCTCGCTCTGTTTTCGCCGAAAAATTGCCGGGCGATATGTACATATACACTCGGTGGCCGTCCCTCGCCACTTGCGCTCGAATGATCGGAGAAAGTTCGGCGCGGCGCGGCGGGTTCCCGTCCAAAACGAGCGACCAAGCCTCGCAAAATGCCCGTTCCAATGCTAGCAAACGGCTGGCCTGCTCTTATCAGAGGGAGAGAGAGAGAGAGAGAGAGAGAGAGAGAGAGGCAGAGACAGAGAGAGATAGAGCGAGAAGGGAAGAGATAAGCAAACTCACCTCCGACGCAGCACAGGAGCAAAACACCGAGCAGCAGGTAGTTCCGCATCCTCGTAGCTTATCTTTTGGCCCGTTATCGGATCGACCCGAGTCGCGAGAGGGAGAGAGAGAAGAAAAACAAACGGACCGCGGGTCAACCGCACAGGGAGCAATAGAGCGAGAGAATCGAGCGGAAGCTGTCGATTGAGGAAGCGGAAGCTCCGTAGCAGCGAGAGCAAAGTCTCGTGCCTCGTCTTTGCGGTCGCGAGCGATTCCGATTTCGTTTTCGCACGCCTCGACGGAAACGTATACGAGAACGCGTGCCTGGCGAGTGGAAAAGCCGAGCGTATTTGCCTGTCACTGTCCTCGAACGACCGACCTCTTTCGTCCTTCGAGGTCCACGAGCGACTGAGACCGTCCGGCCGGCGGCGCGCCGGCTATAGCCTCCCCTTCCTACTTTCTATGGGCCGTGCTCTCATTTCCACTCGCTCCGCCGCCGCCGCCGCCGCCGCCGCCGCCACCGCCACCGCACCAAGCCAGCCTACCTACTACTTCCTACACGCTGCCCGCGTGTGCGTGCGTGCGTGCGTGCGTGCTGCTGCAGCCCATCATTGCAGCCCAGAAATTAAGAGGGACGCGCGCGACACGCATCTTTCTTTCTGTCGCGACCAAGTGCGCGCGGCTTGACAATGGAGCAAGGGGCACCAAGGGCCACTGGCGAGCTGTCGGCCGGATCAAACGGTATGATTTTAGCCATCCAGCGATGAAAATGTTTCGCGTTCAGCGTCAAGCGCATTGGCGTGACTGTCGCGACGAAAATGAATTGGTTGATGGAGGCTCGTCGATTGCCACGTGAAAAATCCATCGTCTCGGTGCATTCTCAGCGAATTCGATAGAACGCTTCGCGGAAGAAATAAACAAAACCGACAGAATCGGACCGCGGCCAAGCGAGAAAATCAATTGAAAATGTTTGACGCTGAAAAAAGTAGCGCAAAGTAAACAGTGAATTACGTCGGATCGAAGCTGAACGCAATTGGAGAGAAATAAAAAATGAAAAGTTGAATAAAAGCCGGGAAAAAAGAAAGGTTACCGGAGTCAGCGATCAAAGTCGAGAACTACTATTACGACAAGCATCTGGATACACCTATACAGCGATTAGCAGTCTGTTAGCCTCCTTCGTAAAAGTAGGCCGATCTAAGTTGGCTCGAGCGGCGCCATGCGAATCTGATCGAGATTAGATCGGGCCTTCGAGCGCGGCGATTGACGTTTCGTACGCGGCGCGCGCAGTGCGTTCCATTTCTCGCTCGCGCGCGGAGAGAAAGAAAGAGAAAGGGTTGCGTCGAGTTCGGCGCGAATGGACACTTGATGAGCCGTTCGCGCGGCGCGCTTGATTTATGGCCCCATCTCTCGATGCCTTCGATCTCATCAACGAGTATCTTTACGAGCTGCGTGCATTTTGTTTGGCTTCTTAATCGCTGCTTACGCGCCGCGTTATTCAACCGCGAACGCGAACGCGCTTCTTTTCTTTTTTCTTGCCGAGCGACTTCCTCGTGTTTGCTTTGAGTTATGACGAAACGAACAGGATGTTACGCTTCGATCAATAGAATCTTTATATCAATATGCCGATCGTAGAATCTTACAGATGTTATCTTTTCTAACGCTGTTAAACTTATAACGGATATACTAATTTCACGTCTTACAAGCGACGCTAATTTTTTGCAATTCTCCATCAGTAGCTTTTCATTTATAACGTCCGTGAGATAACAGAGTGAATTTGCTTGAGCTGCACCGAAACGAAAGTAAGAAAAAGTAATACTAGCAATTGAATTTACCGTTTATGGTGCTGGAACAGTGATAGTAGTGCGCGTGTACCGATGAAGAATACTTGTTCTATGAGATTAATTAAAGAGTCTTAAGGGGAATCTTTGGCAAACAAGGACTCCTGTTTTCTTTCTTTTACTCTTTTGCCAACTCCCTTTTTCTCTCTCGCGGGAAATGTGAGCGTTTAACGATTTGTGCGAGAGCAATTTTAATTGAATGGTTTGTCTGAGCTACATACTTTTGCGCGCGAGCGTCTCTCGTCGTTCTTGCGCGTGCGCCTTTTGGAAAAAAAAAAAAAAAAAGAAAAAAAAAATAGAATAAAATAAAATAAAATAAAATAAACTTGTAGGTAAGTGTGACGGCCAATGCCGTCATTGTCAAAATTTATTATTTGTGAAAGCTCCCGGCAAAGACAAAAAGGTTTTGATGAGCTAATAAAATGGTCGAGTTTGCCCCGTCCAATCAAAAGTGAATTACAGCCGTGGAAACTTCTTGAAAGCGACACTAAACTTATCATATAATTTTTTTTACCGCTGCCGCCGCAGCAATCAAGCACGTACATGAAGATTTCACTGCGGAACCAGCTTGAAGGATGCTCTACTTCTGAAATTGAAATCGTGTGCGCCGCGATAATATTTTAATGCCATTCTCGATGAAATCGCGGGAAAAGTGATCGGTAGAAAAAGGTGAAACTGATAGCATATGAAGCAAAATGACGGACTAGTGACAAGCGATAGAGTCGAGAAGATCGGCAAAGGTAAATACTCGTATGTTCGCGTCGGGCTATTAAACCCCAATAACTTTTCATTGATCTTCCCGCTGTTAGAGTTGGCGGCGGATTCCGTGAATTCTTGGCGCGCGCAAAACACCGCACGGCTCCTGCAAAGTTCAGGTGACAGGCATATTAAAGAACCTCGCTTACAAATTAGAAGCCTTTGTTCGTCTGAAATGAATACGAAAGTGTAGCTGATCAGAGCTACTGAAACAGTTCTTTTTGCAAGTCCTCTCTATATGGGAAGCTCGCCTGAGTTCCACTTTTCGTAACGCTGATTGCAGCAATCTTATTCGATCTTTTAATGCATTCTTCCAGTGGAAAGTCCGGATTATACGCTAGGAAGTATGCTAGAGCACCCAAAAAGGAATCTCCAGCACCCTAATTAACATCGGCATTATTAGACATCTGTTTGCTTTCTTTGCCGCGGCAAAATTCACTGAATGGTCGTACTTACAGTTGTGTCGACAGCTTGTACGGGCATGGTTGGCACGTGAACGGCTTTTTTCTTGTTTTTAGAAGCGTAAATAACGCCGTGGCTACCAAACGTTATGATTACTGTATTGCACCCGAAGGAGAGTAGCTTATCGATTGCCAATTGGCCTGCAGACAATTGCAAATTCGGTATCCCGGTCATTATTTCTGCCTGCGTTCAAGTACCTCGGTTAGCGGTTACCAATTTCGAAAATTGTATTGAAAATTTCAATTCAGCCATTCGCTCACCTCCGTCTCGTTAACGCAGAATATATCGGACAGCTTAAAAATATCCGGATGCACGTTTTGCATGGCGGGAGCGCCGTTGACAATCGACACACCTAACGAGAACAAAGGCAATACGATCCTTCAAAAATCATTCCCATTTTCATTCGCGACTTACAAACCTTGACCCTTGAATAACTTGAGGGCTTCTAGAGTGGCCTTCAGAGTGGTTTCGAACTGGCAAACAAGAACTGATGCAGATTTAATTTTATCCTTGGCGTCTAATACATCTTGACAAGTCATTAACGCGTTAGCGCCGAAAATAGTAACAATTACATTCTCTCCTGGAACGTAATTTGCGTTAATTAATAGAATTAAATTCTGCCAAGACGTAGAAGATAAGATAAGGGCAATAATAAATCAACCAGTCTCCGTAACCATAATCTGCGCTATCCCTGTATCGCTATTACTTTTTATTTTTACGTGTGTCAAATCAATGTTTTCTCTCTTCAAGTTTTCCAGATATTCCTGGCCGAGCGAATCGGATCCTAACTGAAAATGCGCGCACCGTGTTATCATTTCTCTTTCGGCACGGAAATACTACTGGAAATTACCGATCCTATCAGCGCGGTCGAAGCTCCTAATCTCGCTGCAGTGACGCATTGATTGGCGCCTTTACCGCCGAAACTCCGCTCGAATCTGTCACCCACAAGAGTTTCACCGGGTTTCGGCAGCCGAGAGCTGTATCTGCGATCAACGATGGCTTACGTTTTTACGCGGACGTGCGCATCGTCGAGGACATACTCACGTGGCGAAATCGACTACACAGGAACCCACGACAACAATAATTTTCGACATTTCTCAGCAACAATACTCGACACTCGCGGATCAAACTGGCGACTGAGATTCGAGAATCGCAGTGTTCGTTCTTATACGACACGTTCGCACGCAGCCGATTAAATTATCAGAGTATTCATAAATTTCGCGTCTGTCGCGCACGAATTGCGTCTCCCGAACGTGGCTTCTCTCACGGTCGTCCGTTATCTGCGACCAAACAAACACAGCGAAATGACAACGTGGTTGCGCCTCGCCGTCGAAAATAAAAATAATGCACGCGCCTTGTGCGAACATCAACGAAGGTTTACAGGCTCTGCGCCTCGACGTATCGGACACGACGAAGCACACTAACGGCGATCGCGGATCGGCGGCTGGTAGATTCAATCGAGGCGACGAGACCAGGTGTACGAGCTGCGTCTTCGTTATCGCGCGCGGGCGTGTGTTTTTGGGCGCGCGGTACGCGGCGCTGCCTCGGACGGACGAGCGCAGGTCTTGCGTCGCGTCGCGGCGCCGAGCGAGCGGGCCCCAATTAGAGCCAGGGAGAGCGAGCAAGAGGAAGAGCGATCCGTTAAGCGAACGTCACGATGCGGGCGAGGAGCAGCGCGCCGGCGACTCTCGAGAAATCGATTTCGCGCGCTCTCCCGCGGAAAAATTCTCCTTTCTCCGGCGTGGCTGAAATCCGCGAAAAGTAAAAAGGGGAAGCGAAAAACAAAAACGAACGAAAAGAAAAAAAGAAAAAAAAACGGGAAAAAAAATTCGTCCCGGCTTAGAAAGCGCGGCGCGCGGCAGGTGCAACTCTTCGCCCCGATTACGGAAGACCCTTTCGCCTCGATGCATACGCGTATACGTGCGCGGGCGAACTTGCCTTCCATTAACCCACTTCGCGTCAGCGCGCGGGAGAAAGTAAGCGTTCGGTCGTACATGTATATACGTTTTTGCGCGATTCTTCTTCTTCGCGCGCTGGGAAATCGAGCGCATGGCTAATTACACGTATGCACATGCAAACAAACGCGGCAAAGGATTTATCGTGTCGCGCGCGATACAGCCTCCGATTTTTATCGCGCGCGTGTATCTTTTCGCCGATTTGCCGCCTCGTTTCCTCTCCTCGATACGCTCGGAATACTCGAAGATTCAATTCGGATTTAGATTGCCTATGCAAATCAATGCGAGCGGGCTGTTCATTTTTCATACAACAGCGATCGTTTTTTTCTCATTTACAAACTGGCGGTGTGCTTTGTATAGTTGCGTGGACAGAAGAAGATCCGCAATGCAATCTGATATACACTTAATTAGCGTCTTGAACGAAAATTATATCGTCACCAATGCAATACGCAACGTTTTAAAGGATCGTCGTTAACCGCTACAGTAGTATTTTTTTACGTCCTTATTAAAAAAAATTCCCGCCATTCAGACATTTATTGAACTTGTAACAATGAGTTACGACACGACGAAGGTAAAAAACAAAATATTTATTACTCTCAACGGTTCTTTATTTCCAGAACGGTAATCATGCGTAAGAATGATAAAATAAAAAACACCCATTAACCTGAGAAATTGACGTCAACGTACAATGGGATACATCGCGTAATACGCGCATTAAAAAGAACGAAGAGGCGATCAAGTTATTATTACCCCCAATTTAATCGAGCGAAGGAGAGGGAAGAAGATCACGCGGAGCGCGAGCAGCGACTGGAAATAATTAGTGACATCGTTATCGGTACACGGCCGGTACACACGGGTATAAAACGGGATAAGTGGAGCAACAGTGGCGAATGGCGCTCGAAATTCAAGTCAAAAAGAGAGAGAGAGAGAGAGAGAGAGAGGGAGAAACACCGAGCGACTCCTACAATTTGACTAATGAAGAATAGCCAAGGAAAAAGTCGTGCGCCAAGACTTTTCTTTCTTTCTATTCGTGGTTCTAATTAAGCTCATGCAAATGCGGCAAGAGATAGAATTGAATCGCTCGCGATTTGGCGTTCCTTTTTACTTATGCAAATTGCTGGAAAAGTGAATATATATATATATATATATATATATATATATAGCTATCCGGCGTTATGTAATTATCAGCTGTCGTCGTTTGATTGATAAATCGGGCGTGAAGAAAAGCATTTTAGGAAAAGGTAATGCGCATTATGCCTCGTTAATCAACACATGAATAATGATGAACATTATACGCGTCGACGTTGCAGGAGAACGAGGCAGATTTGGTCAGCGATGCATATTACATGAGGTATACGTTATAGACGTAATGTTGCTAATTTTCAAGCCCGCGAGGTAATTTACCGAAAAATTAAATTAACGGACATTTTCACATTTTATTCAATTCACTCCCTCTTCATTTAGCTTTCTCCGCGCAAACTGGTTTTCCCGTATAGACACGCGGGTGTATCCATTAATATGTATCTATAAAGTTTTCTCTCTCTCTCTCGCTCGGTGACCACGAAAGTTAATTGAACTTTTGAAAAAGAGCTGTGCGCACCAAAACCGTCCACAGAGAAATTCGTCTCGACGCAATTAAAATTATCTTTAATAGATTCGTGGCAAGTAAAAGCAAGTATAATTATCTATACGCATTGAAATAGAAATTAGAATCCGCAATGAATATACAGCTGGCAAAGCTATATAAAGTGAAATTTATCAAATAAAAATAGTCAGATTTGCACGCTACTTTCTAGATATTTTACTGTGCTCGTGATACTAGTAATGACTTTTGTTATCGGGAAAAATAAGAAATTTTTAATAATTTTGAACGCTACAGTGCGTAGCTTTGAAATGTATCAATTGAATTAAGGCGGGGGTGCAAATAACTAATGCTCTCGCTGCGAAATTTTGATTGGCAAATTGCAATGGTCCATTCGTTGGCCGAATAGAAATCTCATTCGGCGCTTTACCAGAGGTCGGGAAAGAGAATGAATCTTTGTTAATGCGAAGCAACTTGTTTCCTCGGGGTAAAATCATATAATTCAACTTGAATGGCTAGAAAACTGCTCTTTTCCATTACGACCTCCAATAATCCCAACGGTAGTTCACAGTTAAGGTCGCGCGCGCGACGCGCACGCCGCAGGAAAGAAAAAAAAAAAAGAGGAACGCAACGATCTTCAGGCTCGCGCGCGCGATTATCGAATCGCGACGCTTGCCCGTGCATACCATATTTCTACCCGCGCGCGCAGTCAATGACCTCAATAGGCCGCCGTCTCGACCTGCGCTTGCCTGATTTTATCGCCCCTCAATATCATTACGAAGCTTACATGCACTGTCGTTGCACGCCGACTTTATTTCCTTCGAAGAAACGCAGTCTTGCGGATTAAAGAATGAGAGAGAGAAGAGAGTTATCACTCCTTTTGTTTGTCTTCGACGCGCGCGATGCCGCTCGGATGTAGGAAGCTTTCTAAGCGCGATTTATGATCGGAGTGTCGCGCGTCCATACTGCTTTTCATGAAGAGCTTCTGATTTTTTTTCTTTTTTACGGTATGCGAGCTCTGATCGGTCATATGCATACGTGCTGCTTACTTTGGGTTCGAGACAATCCATGAAAAACTCATGTTTCGTTCCACAGTCAATGGTTTATTTTATAAGTTTCTTTATGTAAGCCGTAATTCATCCTAATTCATTCTAAATAATATTGCATTCGAGTTATTCCAAGGAATTTAGGGTCAACATTTTGATTAAAGAACGCTGCCAATTCATTGACAGTTAGCTTCCTCATAAGTATTTATAAAAATAAAATATCATTCCATGATAAAATTGTCTTTGTTCTATCATATTGTTATCTTACACGTTTCCCTTATTTTATGATCTCTACCACTTCATAGCAGTAGGATCCCATAATATTTTGTATAACTCTTAAGCAACCGAATCGCGGCATGAAAATAACAATATTGTTTATCAGAAGTGACGTATCATTATAGTTGTTTTAACATTTATTCTATTATTGTTTTATTGGCCACATAGTGAGAGCGCTTATTTTTAAGCGACAGTTATCAGCTTTAAAATTATATTTGGTGAAATCAAAAACTCTGATTCAGTCGCAAATTACGGCTGTTCGCATCGCGCTAACGGATCCTGTAGGAGGTACATGACACGTTCCAGGCTATTACGAGCAGTTGCAAGAGTGTAGCTGAACGATTTTTCTGAAACTCGGCTTAAATATTATCTATATTTAATGAACGTCAGTATGAATTTTTAAAACATTACGACGAGTAAGACAAATGTTATAAATAATTATATCCATATCCATTAAAGCTATATTAATGTCAATTTTTTTCAATATTTGTAAAAACATCAACTATGGAAGTATCGATGCCAAAATCAATATGTCGCCAAAACTGACAGTCCATTGTTTGATGATTTAAATGAGTAGCAAAAAAAACATGTATATGTAAGCGCAAGAAAGAGACTCACAATGTCAAGTGCGTGCAGAAACTCCACGCAAGCTTGAATAATTGTTAAAACTCCACAAAATTGCAACAGCTCTCGCGTGGTGGCGGAGTGTGAGAATCTTAAAACTCATTTTCACTGCCAAAAATACTGTTCGTCCGTCTTCAAAACCAACCGTTGATTTCGCTTTTTTCGAGAACTATTTATGATAAAAAGGTTCATTTTTTTCAATTTACTAATATGCAGTGAGAAAAATGTATTTGTGTCGCCTAAAATAGTATATTTTAATAAGCCAAATGGTTAGAAATGCTTTAATACAAGATACATAGTTCATTGTTATTTTCAAGAAATATTCTTTTAATATACAAATTGTATTCAGAGTAAAATGAGAAAAAATCTTTTAATATTAACTGTTATGTTCGGTTAATAAATAGAATAATTATTATCATAAGAACTTGAAAATAAAAAATGTCATAAATAATTTTTATTACTCTAAAATTATTGCGCAATAAGTTATTTGTTCATTATTTTGATATTTACTTTAACAACATCAAAAAATATTTAAGTATTGTCCATCTTGAACATAGTTGCCGCTTCTTCTATCGACTAGCTAAATTAAAGAGCAGTCGAAGGTACATTTTGTCAATCAAAAGCATAGTTGCCATTTGTTCTTTCGGTGACAAAG